CATACATGCTAAGCTCATCGAATCTCTAAACCCGAGCCGCGATGATTAACTCTAAGGACCTCTTGGAGACACCATCCAAATGGCAGAGCCAGTCCTCTCAAGGAAGACGACAACAATCGATTATTGAGCGATAGGACCTACTGGCTGATGACGGTCACTTTGTCATATATACAATAGATGAAGCCCGATTCATGATTCTCTTGACTTATCTTAACCGTCTAATCTTTAGAGAGTTACTTTTGATGGCTGAAAAAGAATTCGGGTTCACAGGATATGGTCCTTTCAAGGTTCCTTTGTGAAGCATTTGTTATGGAGCACATAGTTTCCTTACTAAGGAGAAACACCTCAATGGAGGTGGAGAAGGCATTGATTTACTTAACCTCATGTAGAGCCTATATACCTCCTCAAACTGCCCCTGGTCCTAGCTTTCTCCCAAGTTTTTGAGTTTGTTTAATGGACATTGAGCTCCAAAAATTTACATTTCCTTTTTATTGGAAGGTACATCAAGCAATCCACTCAATTTTGTACAGATTACACAATTTTGATTGAATAACAAGTTCATTCATTCTACTTTATCTTCAATTCTTTCTCCAATAATTGTATTTTCTTTTGAATGCTTATACTACACGCCATAGGAGCATCATGTACATCTACTACCTCGGTCAGAAGGCACACTTGGGATGATTTTTTCAATCTGAAATTTTGGGTACCACACTAAAAAATACTACATGATTATTCTCAAAGTAAAAATTTTGAACTTTATCTAGTCTAACACTTAGATCTCACCTTTTAAAAATTAGTGGTCGCTATTCATTCTCTAGGCACCAATTTTTCAACTCTATATTGTGATTAGGAAAAAAAAAAGTTTGTTATTGAAGTTTATCTATGGTTATAGAGGTTATGTCACCAAAATTTAGGGTATTAAAATTAATCTTGGATGAGATTTTATCTGAGGGAGTAAATGGACAATATATTCATTCAGGAGTACAATAGCTTTTGGCTTTCTTTTCTTACCCAGAAAAATATTTGAGCGTTGTGGAACGTTCTCCTTACAAAAATGTGAAAGACATACCCCCCATCGACGAATATGCCGTCATATAACCTAGTTTTGCAAAGCACGGGCCATCGCTATGAGCTCTACAGTTGGGAAAAACATTTCATGTTATTTTAAAGGGATGGTATACAATGAGATTATTTACATTTGGTATCCTGAGGTCAAAATTACTTACAAACATCTGATGTGAAATCTGATAGCTTGGGTGTGTCATAAAATTCGAGAAAATGTCTTTTGAACTTTGAGCTTGGTCAATGAAATAAATATAGCCACCCAATTTCACATCCAATGGTCAAGATTAATTGTAACCACTTTGTACCAAAAGTAAATAAATTTTTTTATGTACATTCCCTATTTTAAAATAATATCATTTCAAAAAATTTGACCATAGAAACATGTAACTTTGCATATATAGAGAGAGATATAGTGGGTTTTTTTTTTAACACATTGGAGATAGTTGGACAGAAAGTTACGGTTAAATATGAAAATACCTTTCCCAATTGTATTTTAAGAATCCAGAGGGATGTACCTCATGCACAACACTCAAATGCTGCATGCAAAGCATGTGCTTGTGCGTGTAAGGGAACTTTAAGACCTGGTTTTCTCTCAAGAGAAAAGGGTAGCGTCAAGCCAAATTTAATATTTTGTTTCTTAACTTGCTCTAGTGGAATTCACAACTGAGCGTAATGACTGTTTGGATGCCAAGATAAGTATCAAAGCTTATATCGAATCACTGCCCCTAGGATGAAAATAACTCGTCCAAGTCAGAAACTCGACTCTCGAGTCTCGACCTCCCCATGAGTTTATGTATCTTTGACTGCCCTTTTGTGTTGTGATATCTGATGTTTTGGATCATATTTTCCTCAACTCCTTTTTCTGTAAATCTATATGTTTTCTTCTTTGTTGGTTCTAGATAAGAAAATAGTAGTTTACTTGCGTTAATAGATATGGATTCTCATTTGTAGGCTGTCCAAACAGCTAATATCATGGGCAATGCCCTCATGTTTGCGGTATGCTTTGGATTACAATGGACTTTTGGCTATGGTGATGCTGGAACTCACATTCTTTCTCATTCAAGCCTCATTCAAGCCAAAGTTTGGTTAGGTGAGCTTAGGGGTGGGAAATGGGTCCGGTCAAGTCATGGACCCAGGTTGGCCAAATCGGGTCTAGGTCTAGATCATGACGATAGATCCAATGGATGGGCCTAGGTCCACTTGATCTTGACCCGACCCAAATTAAGTCCGGGTCTGGGTCCAACTTGGATCCCATTGAGTAGGGATGGGTCTTGAGTCAGGGATTGACACAACCCACTCTTGAATATATAAGTATAAAGTACATATATGTAATATTAACTATGAGAAAGGATCCCATTAGTCCAAAAGCTAGCAGCTACAGTGTCAGCTAATGTCCCAGATTAAATCTGAGCCGGATCCAATGATCACGACCTCATTTCGTATTTGAATTCTTATTTTTTTATACAAATCTGTATCACTTGAAATTTTGAGTGCCTATTCTTTAAAAATATTAGAAATCTAATAAAAATATAAAAACATTATTCGTAAAATATAAATTGACCAAAATATCCCTGAAATGTTTTGAGGTATTTTGGTCAATTTTTATTACTAATTATTTTTTTTAATTTTTTTATTAGGTGGGTCTTGATGAGAAGAATGAACATCTAAACTTTCAAGTGATTTAGACTTGTATAAAAAAAAAATTCAAATATGAAATGAGGTTGTGACCGTCAAATTGGGGTATTGGCTGAC